GCACACTCCCATGCAGCTGCACGACCCAGGAATGCAGCCATCACTGCTGCCTCTTGAGTGTGCAAGAGCAGGAAAGCTAACACTGAACCCAGACGCCCTGATGCGTGATGCAGGCCTCTTATCCAGGGCACTCCCTAACCGCTAGGCTACACTCCTGCCCCACCCCGTCATTTCCCATTTTTAATCTTCAGTTGTTCCAATTTGATTGGCATTGGATGGGGGTGAGGACCCCGTGCTGCCAGGAACCCCGTGTGAGACACAAATCAGGGCCAGCGCCATGGCTCACTTGTCTAATTCTCTGCCTGCAGCGCCAGCATCCACATGGGTGCCAGGTTCTAGTCCCGGTTGCCCCTCTTCCAGGCCAGCTCTCTGCTGTGGGCCCGGGAGTGCAGTGGAGGATGGCCCAAGTGCTTGGGCCCTGCACCCCATGGGAGACCAGGAGAAGCACCTGGCTCCTGCCTTCTGATCAGCGCAGCGCCGGCCTAGTGGCATTGGGAAGTGGACCAACGCAGGGAAGACCTTTCTTTCTGTCTCTCTGTCTATAACTCTACCTGTCAAAAACAAACACAACAAACACACAAATCAGGCCAGTGAAGCTGCCATGTCAGAGATGCCAGCGCTCAGGAGCTGAAACAAGCTTGTCTCTCCTAGAACATGAAGACGGGACTGACCAGGCAGCTTCCCAGTGCTGAGGACGTACACTCTACCCATCTCTGCTTAAACCGCAGTTCACGTGTGGCCCAGGTCTGCCTTCTGTCTGCATTCCCAAAGTGGGAAGAGTCAAGGACAGGTGTGCCAAGGGTGCAGCTCCGACTGCTGTCTGCAAGTCTCTGTTAGTAACACAGAGCATGGGCACTGGTAGCATCAGTCTCCACACAAGACACCATCTTTAGAATCAACTCTTTCGGGCCAGCGCTGTGGCATAGTGGGTGAAGCTGCCGCCTGGTGCCAGCATCCCATATGGCTGCTGGTTCATATCCCAGTGCTCCACTTCCAATCCAGCTCTCTGCTATGGCCTGGGAAAAGCAGTAGACGATGGCCCTACTGCTTGGGCCCCGCACCTGCATGGGAGACCTGGAGGAGGCTCCTGGCTCCGTATCGGCACAGCTCTGGCCATCACGGCCAACTGGGGAGTGGACCAGTAGATGGAAGACCCAACCCCCCGCCTGTCTGCCTCTCACTTCTCGCCGTGTTAACTCTTTCAAATAAATAAATAAATTTTTTTTCAAATAATATTTTTTAAAATCAATTCTTTCATAACTACTTGGATTTGTGACTCAGAGGAACCAGTGGATGGAAAATCTCTCTCCTCTGTCATTTGCCTCTCAAATTAACAAAATTAACTTTTTTGTTCTACAGATTTATTTATGGCCGGCGCCGTGGCTCACTAGGCTAATCCTCCGCCTTGTGGCGCCGGCACACCGGGTTCTAGTCCCCGGTCGGGCGCCGGATTCTGTCCCCGGTTGCCCCTCTTCCAGGCCAGCTCTCTGCTGTGGCCCGGGAGTGCAGTGGAGGATGGCCCAGGTGCTTGGGCCCTGCACCCCATGGGAGACCAGGAGAAGCACCTGGCTCCTGCCATCGGATCAGCGCGGTGCGCTGGCCGCGGCGGCCATTGGAGGGTGAACCAACAGCAAAGGAAGACCTTTCTCTCAGTCTCTTTCTCTCACTGTCCACTCTGCCTGTCAAAAAAAAAAAAAAAAAAAAAAAAAAAAGATTTATTTATTTATTTGAAAGAGTAACAGAGGGCAGAGGCAGAGAGATCTTCCATCTGCTGGTTCTCTCTCTAATGGCTGCAATCAACAGGGATGGGCCAGGCGAAAGCCAGGAACAAGGAGCTTCATCTGGGTGTCCCATGTGGGCGCAGGGGACCAAACACTTGGGCCATCTTCTGCTGCTTTCCCAGGCCATTAGCAGGGAGCTGGATCGGAAGTGGAGCAGCCGGGACTTGAACTGGTACCTATATGGTAGCCAGCACTACAGGCAGCAGCTTTACCCACTATGCCACAGCGCCAGCCCCAAATTGATTAATTTTTAAATAGTTTGTAAAAAAAAATAAAACAGAAAACATGGATTGTGAAAAATATGCATGGGCTGCAAAATTTTTTGCGTCCAAATAAATTACCCTAAATCCCGTTTTCCCACAAACTTTCTGCAAAGCAGCCGTGTATGTGTAGAACTTAAACGTATGTTTATAAAGGCTGCAGTAATGGGTACAGTTCACTAAGCCCTTGGCGGTGTGGTGACTCCAGAGAAGGGTATGCCATGCATCGCCTCACTTCCAAGATAGGTTCTATTAGTGTTGCCATGATACCACTGAGACATTCATCCTCCCACAGGTGCACAGACGGTGCCAGCACGGTGCCCCAAGCCCACGCTGGCACAAACCAGTCAAAAGTAAATTTACTACAACCAACATCCCAAACACCACGGCTCCGCGACCCGGGCACTGCTCCCTCCTGCCAGCAGGCTGCTGGGGATGCTGGGGCGGAGCCCTGCACTGTCCCTCGAAATTCCCGCCTCAAGGCGCACTCCCGCCTAGGCTGGAACACTGAAGTCAAACCAGTGTCCCGCGGCAAGCGGTCTACATTAGTACACTCGACAGGTGGTAAGGCCTCTACTTCTTAAAATGCAGGCATAATGTACACTACAAAGATACAGATTTAAGGACAGAGCTCGACGAGTTCAGACGAACGTGGACTCCCCGACAGGACGCCGCATGCCTAGCCCAGGCGGCCCTGTCGCCATGAGCTCTGCCCATCCTGGACCCACGCACACAGAACCACCGAACGTGCATGCTCTTGTGTTTGGCGTCTTTCGCTTGGTATGTTATGTGTGGTTTCTGAAAAGATTTATTGGAAAGGCAGAGTGACAGCGTGGGCTTCCATCTGTGGGTTTACTGGTTGTAGGTGGGCGAGCCAGGAGCTCCACCTGGGCCTCCCACAGCGGGTGGCAGGGGCTCAAGAACTTGAAGCTCCATCTACTTCTTCCCAGCTGCATTAGCAGAAATCTGCATCAGAAGCAGAGCATGAGAGATGCAGGCATCCCAGGAGGCAGCTTCACACGCTGAGCCACGACACTCACTCCCGCGTGGGCGCCATCACACAACTGCACGACCTGTTCATCCATCCTCCTGCTGTGAACATGCGAGCCAATCTACAGTTCCATCTCCAAGCCTCCTGGGATGCAGAGCTGAGCCACAGGGCAACGGCCTCAGCCTGTCCAGGGTCCTGGGACAAGGCACCATAAACACAGCAAATGGACTGGGGCAAGCGCTGACACAGTGGGCCAGGCTGTTGCTGCAGATGCCTGCATTCCGCACGAGTGTGCCTGGTTCCAGTACTGGCTACTCCATACTTCCAATCTACAGCTTCTGGCTGACGTGTCTGGGAAGGCAGATGACGGCCCAGGCACTGGGGTTCCTGCCACTGCCCTGGGGGACGGACACAGTTCCAGGCTCCTGGTGGGAGCCTGGCCCAGCCCTGGCTGCTGCAGCCATCTGGGGAGCAAACCAGCAGACAGAAGATGGCTCTCTCTCTGCCCTTTTCTAAATACACAGAACAACTTCTTACAGCTGTTCTGGGTAAGTCCAGCAGGCCTGGTGTCGCTGAGGGCCTGTTTTCTGGTCCAGAGATGGCACCTTGCTGTGTGCTGGGGTCTCTCTCGGGCCTCTTTTATGTGGGCACTAAACCTATTCATTAGGACTCTGCCCCATGACCTCATCACCTCGCACGGGTCCCATACCCCATGATCGTCCCCTTGGAGTTAGGATGCCAATGTGTGGATTTGGGGGAGGTTGTGGTGGGAGGGGACACATTCAGCCCAAACCAAGGAGCTGCCTTACTGTTTCCCAAAGTGGCCAGCGCATCTTCCGGTCCCCCCAGCAGCGTGTGAGAACCCCGAAGCTGCTGCACACTCACAGAATCTGATACCGTCAGTCCCAGTTCCCGCCGTTCTGCTGGGTGGGAAGCAGGACCTCCTTGTGATTTTTTTTTAAAGACTTTATTTGTTTGAGAGGCAGAGTTAGAGGGAGAGACAGGGGTCTTCCATCCGCTGTTCATTCCCCAGACTGCCGGCGCCGAGCCGATCCGAAGCCAGGAGTTTCCTCCGGGACATCAGCCGCAGGGGAAGGCCGAGCCCACCGCGCCACAGAGCCGGCCCCTCTGTGATTTTAACCCGCACTTCTCCGCTCCTCGGATGGACCGACCCTTCCTCCAGGTGCCCCGTGGCCTCCCAGTGCCACTCAATGGCTTTTTGTTAAACCCAAGCACAAGTCTGTCTTTGGGGTCTTTTACTTAAGTAGTCTCCCAGCGTCGGCAAGAGCACGGAACCTGCGCACCCGGGACCGAGAACCGCACGCCCACCACAGGCGAGGCCCGCAGAGTTGACGGGAAGCACCGCGTCCCCTGAGCGCAGACAGCCGCAAGCCACGAACGAACGGGCCACAGCCGCCGGCGGAGCGGCCTCGTCCGCGAGGCGGGAGCAGCTGCGGGGCACGGGGCCTGCGTGCGGCCCTCCGGGCAGCTTGCAGGGCAGACGGCACCTCCGTGCGGCCCGCGCTCGACCTCGGCCCCTGCCCCGCACCGCCAGCCCCGCAGGCCTCCAGCGAGCCCTCCGGCCCGGCCTGTGGCCCCCGGGTCTCTGGAAATCGCTCGGCTCTCAGGACCTGGGCAGGCTCCCCAGGCCACGCAGCCGGGAGCCGGCCCCCGCACCGCCCGGCCGCCACGCTGCCCGCCACTTACCGGCCGCGGAGTTCCACGTCCGCGAGCCTGCGCCGCGCCCGAATCAGGACCCCTGCGGCCGGGCTGCCCGCACCAGTCCCTGACGGCGCGCTGGCCCGCCCCTCGTCGCCCGGGGTGGGGGCCGCAGCCGCGCCCCTCCGCTGGGCCCCTGGGGGAGGGGGCGGACGCCCGGCCCCTCAAGCGCCGGCCCCGCCCCCGCGCCAGCCGCTCCCGCGCGCGGCGCCGCCAGGCAGTGGCGCGGACAGCCCGGCGCGCGCGGGCGACGCAGGACCCGGGCTCCTCGGCGGCGGCGGCGGCGGCGGCGGCGGCGGCGGCTACGGCGATGCTGTGGCCGCGGCTGGCGGCGACCGAGTGGGCGGCGCTGGCCTGGGAGCTGCTGGGCGCCTCGGTGCTGCTCCTCGCGGTGCGCTGGCTGGTGCGGCGGCTGGAGAAGCGGCCACGGGGCCTGGACCGCAGCGGGACCCCGGCCCCGCAGCCCTGTGCGGCTGCCGCGCCGGACCCAGGTGAGTCGGGCCGGCCGGGTGGGCCCCGCGCCCCTCGCCCGCCTCCCGGCGTCTGGGTGCCGTGCTGGGAGCTCTTGGACCCGGGCTCCGCGCCCCTCGCCGCCGCCTCCTCCGTACCTACCCCTGGCGCGGGAAGAGCGGTTGGACCCCTCGCGCCGGAAGCCGGGCGGGCTCGCCTTGGAGAGGCCCCTGCGGCCACTGCGCGGGAGCCGGTGCGGAGAGCCGGGAGCGGCGCGTGTAGCTGGGGTGTCGGCGCCGACCCGGGAGTGCTGCGTGGACGCGGGCGGCGGGAGTGAGGCGCTCTGAGCCAGGTCGCTGGTGGCCGGGAGCCGCGAGAGGCGCCAGGGCCTGGGCCGCAGGCTCGGTGCCCGCGCTCGCCGTGCACGTGGGGCTGTCGGGAGGCGGCTGCGTGACGCGTCCCCGGCTCTGCGAGGGCGCCGCAGCGCGCGGAAGGCGCGGGGAGCTCCGCGCGGGGGCAGGTGTCTAGGTGCGGGTGTGCGTTCAAAACGCGACTGCACCGAGAAACCCCTCCCCGTGCTCCTCCAGGGGGACAGGCGACAGCCCCTTCCGTGTTCGCTGAGGGAACAGCCCCCGCGGCTGGTGGGCGTCTTGCTGGGGTCGCGTGTGGCAGGCGCCAGGGCCGGTGCAGCTTTCCTCCTGCTGAGTTTTGCCTTTTCTTGTCCCCTTGGGAAAGCTTTTGGCAGCGCCTTTACACTTTTATTGATTGGAAAGGCAGAGAAGCGAGAAGAGAGACATCTCATCTTCGCCCGCTGATTCGTTCCCTACACGCCTGTCATAGCTAGGGCTGCGCCAGGTCAAAGCCAGGCCTCCCACACGGTGCAGGGCCCTACCTGCTGCTGCCAGCGTGCACAGTAGCAGGAAACTGGATTGGAAGCAGAGCTGGGACTTGAACCCAGGACTCCAGTATGGGATGCTGGCACCCCAAGCAGCAGCTGAACCCCTGCACTTCAATACCTGCCCCAGGCAGCACCCTGAAGAAACAGCACATTTGCCTGTCGTCTGCATCGTCAACAGCAGACGCAGACACGCAGACGCAGCGTGCAACGCCGGAGGCTGGCACTGAAGCCTGTTTGTTGGCTGGTAGGGAAGGCCCGAGACACAGGAGGCTGTGGGGGTTTTCCAATGAGAATTTCACTTTGACTTTTCATTTTGGAACCATAGGCTTATAACAGAGTGGAAGACTAGTGCAGAGAAAATAAACATATCTGAGAAGGTCTCTGGTGTCCTTCTTCTCTAAGGAAATACAGAATACAGCCACGATGAACTAGCACGCACACCTGTAGTAAAGGCTAAACTTTATTTATTTATTTTTGACAGGTAGAGTGGACAGTGAGAGAGAGAGACAGAGAGAAAGGTCTTCCTTTGCCGTTCGTTCACCCTCCAGTGGCTGCCGCGGCTGGCGCGCTGTGGCCGGCGCCCCTCGCTGATCCGAAGGCAGGAGCCAGGTACTTCTCCTGGTCTCCCATGGGGTGCAGGGCCCAAGCACTTGGGCCATCCTCCACTGCACTCCCTGGCCACAGCAGAGAGCTGGACTGGAAGAGGGGCAACCAGGGCAGAATCCAGTGCTCCTACCCGGACTAGAACCTGGTGTGCCGGCGCCGCAGGCAGAGGATTAAGGGCTAAACTTTAAATGTAGCGTATTTCCAGTCGGCAGAGTGCGTGAGTGGTGCAGCCCCTCTAGAAATCAGTCTGGCCATTTCTCAGAGAAGTTAAACCTGCCCTGCACTCCTGAGCTTTGTTGTAGAGAAATGAACATTTTCTTCACACGAAATTTCATATGTGCATGTCGCTCTAGGGGTGAGTGGCTAAATAGACCCTGTTCCGACCACAAGTGCTACTCCTCAGGGTGGTTGGGTCTCAAGGGCCCAGTGCAGAGTGAGAAGGAGCAGTACTGTAGGTGTGTACTGGATTCTGTTTGTATAGCATTCTTACAGTGAAAAATTATAGACAACAAATTTGTGGTTGCCAGGGGCTGGGGCCCATGGAGGAGATTGGGTGTCACTGTGAAGGGGCAGTAGGAGAGAGGTCTTTGTGGTGATGGACATTTCTGTGGTGATGGTCACACACACTGTCACAGAACTGGGCACAGATACACACACACTCACCCCTGTTAGAATGGCTCACATACAGAAATCAACTAACAACAGATGCTGGTGAGGATGTTGGGGAAAAGGCACACTAACCCACTGTTGGTGGGAATGCAAACTGGTCAAGCTGCAATGGAAGACGGTTTGGAGATTCCTCAGAAACCTGAATATAACCCCACCACACGACCCAGCCATCCCACTCTCCCGGAATTTACCCAAGGGAAATTAAATTGGCAAATAAAAGAACTGTCAGCACCTCAGTGTTTATTGCACTCAATTCACAATAGCTAAGACATGGAATCAGCCTAAATGCCCATCAACATAAGACTGGATAAAGTACACCATGGAATACTACACAGCACTAAAAAAAATGAAATCCAGTCATTTGCAACAAAATGGAGGAATCTGGAAAACGTCATGCTGAGTGAAATCAGCCAGTCCCAAAGGGACAAATATGTTCTCCCTGATCTGTGACAACTAACTGAGCACCTAAAAGGAAACCTGTAGAAGTGAAACTGACAGTATGAGAAGCAATTTGCCCGCAGCCCAGGAGGTTCAAGGTGTTGTGTCAGTGTCAGCTTCTTAAAGATTTTTGTTTTTTAAAATTTATTTACTTGATAGGCGTAGAGACAGGCAAAACAAAGAACTTCCAGTTCATTCCCCAAATGCCTGCAATGGCTGGACCAGACCAAAGCCAGGAGCTAGGAGCCAGGAATTCACTCCAGTATTCCTCCTGTGTGGTAGGGACCCAGGTGCATGAGCCGTCACCAGCTGTCTCTCAGAGGCATATCAACAGGAAGCTGGGTCAGAAGTGGAGACAGGACTGAGAGCCTCTGATACGGGAAGTGGGTGTCCCAAGTGGCGTCTTAACCTCGGAGCCGCAGGTTCATCCTGACACCTTTTCTTGACTCCCCAGTGAGGAGCTCGCTTTTGCTTCGCCCTCAGTGTACACAAGGGAGAGCTCAGAACTCCCGAGCCAGACTGCTGTGTGGAATGCATTGCTGGACTGTGGCAGGTCTGGTTAGCTTTGGGGTACCTGCTCACCTGCTGTTTCCAGAACTACTTAGAGGAATATCCACATACACTACCGTGTTACTCATATATACCAAGGTGCATGTTTTGGTTTGTATTGAGTTTATTTGATTTTTTTTTTTTAAGATTTATTTATCTGAAAGGCAGAGTTACACAGAGGAGAGGCAGAGAGAGAGAGAGGTCCTCCATCCTCTGGTTCACTCCCTAAATGGCCACAACAGCTGGAGATGGGCTGATCCAAAGCCAGGAGCCAGGAGCTTCTTTTTGGTCTCCCACATGGGTGCAGGGGCCCAAGGACTTGGGCCATCTTCTGCTGCTTTCCCAGGCCATAGCAGAGAGCTGGATCAGAAGTGGAGCAGCTGGGACTCAAACTGGCTTCCATATGGGATGCTGGCACTGCAGGCACAGTGCTGGCCCTTTGATTTTTGAGTATATGAATTACCAACATGTTTCTGAAAGTCAGGACCCTAAAACACTTGCAGTCAAAAGTGCTGTTCCGGGGCCAGCACTGCGGCGCTCTAGGTTAATTCTCCGTCTGCGGCGCTGGTATCCCATGTGGGCAACGGATTCTGTCCCGGTTGCTCCTCTTCCAGTCCAGCTCTCTGCTGTGGCCTGGGAAGGCAGTGGAGGGTGGCCCAAGTGCTTGGGCTCCTGCACCCGCATGGGAGACCAGGAAGAAGCACCTGGCTCCTGGCTTCGGATCGGCACAGCGCCGGCCATTGAGGCCATTTGGGGAGTGGACCAACGGAGGGAAGACCTTTCTGTCTCTCTCTCTCTCTCACTGTCTAACTACCTGTCAAATAAATAAATGAAAATCTTAAAAATAAAAAAAGGTTGGCCGGCGCCGTGGCTCAATAGGCTAATCCTCCACCTTGCGGCGCCGGCACACCGGGTTCTAGTCCCGGTTGGGGCGCCGGATTCTGTCCCGGTTGCCCCTCTTCCAGGCCAGCTCTCTGCTATGGCCAGGGAGTGCAGTGGAGGATGGCCCAGGTGCTTGGGCCCTGCACCCCATGGGAGACCAGGAAAAAAGCACTTGTCTCCTGGCTCCTGCCAGGATCAGCGCGGTGCGCCGGCTGCAGCGGCGGCCATTGGAGGGTGAACCAACGGCAAAAGGAAGACCTTTCTCTCTGTCTCTCTCTCTCACTGTCCACTCTGCCTGTCAAAAAAAAAAAAAAAAAAAAAAAAAAAAAAAAAAAATTAAAAAAAAATAAAAAAAGGTGCTGTTCCCCACACCTTTCTACTCCCAGTGTTCCCCAGACTGTTCTGCTTTGTCCTTGGCTTCCTTGTGTGCATGAAAGCAGGCTCTTCTGTTAATGATTACAAATACTGGAAACAGTGTACTTTTTAAAAGTTTCAACTTGACTTTCTAGCATATTAAATACTTATTCTCAGAGATTACTAAACCTGTGTTCCTGCGGTAGCTTAATAGCTGTAGTAGAGATTTACAAATAACTTGTCATGTCAGACACAGTGATACAGATTTGAATGTGTTTATTTTGACTGATTTCTCAAAGTAGAGTTATTATAGTGTGCACTTTATAGATGAGGAAAGAGAGTCTTAGCATTTACACGGTTTGATTCTGTTGTAACAGGGATTCCATGTATTTGTTCTGTTAGGGATCCCTCTCAAACCCAAGTTAAAGGGCTGGCCTTGGTATAAGGATGCCTGCTGCCCAGGAATGCTTGCTGGCGGGTCTGCTCCTGCTCACCTTGCCTGCAGCTGTGGGCGCCCTCTGCCTGCTCTGCCCCAGAGTCCTTAGAGCCTTCGTACCACTTCCCTACACCTAGCCAGAATTGGGCTTAGTGCTCACCCGGTCAGAATCTGGGGTCGTTAGGCCTCCCCTTCCAGTCCTTGGCAGCTTTATAGGGGACTGTGTAATACGTTCATTGTTTCAAAGATCAGTATCCCAGTTCAGATAATGAAGAGTCATTTTTAAAATCTTTGTGGAGTTGGCATTGTGTTACTCTGAAGTAACATATTTGATCTTTTCATTTCCTCCTATACAACTCCTAAATCCTTGAATCTTCAAGGCCGTGTCTTTTTCTGTATGCTAATGAGCTGACTGATGGCCTGCAGCCCCTGGGTAGCATCAGGATGGGTTCTGGGCTGGTCACAGTAAGGCCAGAGGGCTGGGACTTTCAGTGCCACCTCCCTGTAACCAGGGAGGGGAGAGGAGGGACTGCCAGTTGAGTCCATCACCAATGGCCATAGCTGGCTGGCCATGCCTGTACAATGAGAGTTTCTGATCTGCTCTGAGGAAGTTCCTGGAGATGGCCCTGGAGAGCCCAGGGAAGCTCCGTGCCCTGCCCTGTGTGCCTCCACCACTGGACTCTTCATCTGTATCTTTCATGATATCCTTTATAATAATAAATGGGTAAGCTGATAAGCTGCTCAGAAAAATTAATCAAATGCAAATGATATGCACAGCCTTGTATGTTGGCATTTTCTGGGGGAGCGTCTTGTTGGACTGAGCCTCCAGGGAGACAGTGCCGGCTGCAGAACTGACTGCTTGCTTTGTGTGTGGAAAAGACCCATATCGGTGATCACAGCAGCCTTCCTGTGACTGGTGCTGACAGAGCAGGAAAAATGCTTCAATATTCTTTCCTCCTGTATCCATGAGGAATTATAAAACATGCTTTTAAATTAAAAAAAAAAATACACAGAACTAGATGGGTGCCCCTCCCATGCACCTGGCACCAAGAAAATTTTTTTTTGGTTTTAATTTTTTTTAAGATGGCTTTATTTATTTGAAAGAGTTAGAGATAGAGGTCTTCCATCCTATGGTTCACTCCCAAATGACTGCAATGGCCAGGGCTGGTCCAGGCCGATCAAGGAGCCTGGAACTCCATCCAGGTGTCCGTGGGTTGCAGAGGCCCAAGCACTCGCACCATCTTCCACTGCCTTCCCCAGTACATTAACAGGGAGCTGGGTGCCATGTGGAGCAGCTGGGACTCAAAACCGTGCTCATATGGGATACCGGCCTCACAGACCCTGACTTAACCTACTCTGCAGTAATACCAGCCCCATAGCAGGTGATAATGTTGTAGATGCCCCGTGCCCTCTGTCTTGTGTCCTGCTGAAATTCAAAGCTAGCCCTGCATGTCCCGTTCCGTCATCATTATCGGTGAACACTTCTTAAACTCCTCTACTGTGGGGCCAGCGCTGTAGCATAGCAGTTAAAACTGCCAGCATCCCACATGGAATCCCAGCTGCCCCACTTCCGATCCAGCTCTCTGCTATGGCCTGGGAAAGCAGTGGAAGATGGCCCAAGTGCTTGGGCCCCTGCACACACATGGGAGACCTGGAAGAAGATCCTGGCTTCAGCCTGATCCATTCCCAGCTGTTGTGTCCTGTTGTGGAGTGAACCAACAGATGGAAGATCTCCCTCCCTCTCTCTAACTCTGACTTTCAAATAAATAAATCTTTAAAAAGAAAATAAATAGCCAGTGCTGGCATCCCGTATGGATGCTGGTTTAAGTGCCAGCTGCTCCACTTCCAATCCAGCTCCCTGCTAATGGCCTGGGTGCTTGGGCCCCTGCTACCCACATGGGATACATGGATGAAACTCCTGGCTTCAGCCCAGCCCAGCCATTGCAGCCATCTGAGGAGTGAACCAGCAGATAGAAGATCCCTCCCCTCCCCCTCTCTCCCTGTCTCCCTGTCTCTCTCCCTCTCTCTCTGTAATTCTGACTCTCAAATAAATAAATAAGCCTAAACAACAACAAACAAAAAAACAGCAACAACCCTCATTCCATGGGCTCTGTGTATGTGCTAGGTGCTTGTGAGTGGCTCTGCTGTTGAGTCTGGAAAAGAATTTCCCTCCTGGCCGGCGCCGCGGCTCACTAGGCTAATCCTCCACCTTGCGGCGCTGGCACACCGGGTTCTAGTCCCAGTTGGGGCACTGGATTCTGTCCCGGTTGCCCCTCTTCCAGGCCAGCTCTCTGCTGTGGCCAGGGAGTGCAGTGGAGGATGGCCCAAGTGCTTGGGCCCTGCACCTGCATGGGAGACCAGGATAAGCACCTGGCTCCTGCCTTCGGATCAGCGTGGTGCGCCGGCCGCAGCGCGGCGGCCATTGGAGGGTGAACCAACAGCAAAGGAAGACCTTTCTCTCTGTCTCTCTCTCTCACTGTCCACTCTGCCTGTTAAAAAAAAAAAAAAAAAGAATTTCCCTCCTTTTGTTCTTCTGACTCCTTCTTTCCCAGCATCTAGACTAGGAAAAGTGGGTGTTACCACAGGCCTGTGTTACAGTCCTTCCAGCCTCATCTCGGGTGTCTGATTGTCCTGTCGTTAGGGCCTCCCTGTTGCTGCAGCAGTAGTCTGTGCCCGCCTGTTCTACCTTCTCCCTAGTCCAGCTGGCCACACAAGCCTGTAGAGCAGGAGTAGGGGATGGCCGTAGAAGTCCGTGGAATCATTGGCCTAGCCAAGGCAACCACAGGTAGGGCTTGAAATGCAGTGAATTTATGGCAGGCTAGTTTTTAAGTTGAAAACTGTGTGTGGCCTTGAATGATGCCACACTGTAAATATACTCAAATGGCCCCTGCTGCATAGTGAATGGCATACGCTTAACCTGTACACTGATTAAAGGTGCAGCTGTGGTTCAGATCCACTTGATGTCTCTGTCACTTGGACAGACCACTTGGCCTGTCTGTGCTTCAGGATGTTCATCTGTAAGGTGGGGGCCGCGGCGCCCTGCCCACAGGGCTGTTGAGACCGTAGCGCTTGGAGCTGCTCAGCATCATAGAGCAGAATGTGCCAGGGTGTGTGCAGCCTCTCTGTGTAAATCTCTGCCTAGTTGCCCGTCTCTTTGTGGGGAAGAGTGCAAGTGTGTCTGGTTTCTAGAGTTAAGACTTCACAGATGCTGTCAGATGCCTCCCGTGGGACTTGTCCCAGATGACACGGCAGTCAGCCTCGGGTAAGTGTACCTGTAAAGCTGTGTGCTGAGAACGTAGTGTGGTGGTGACACGGACGGAAAAGGCTGTCAGGTTTTCCAGAGCAACCGGAAGCTGCTTTTCATAATTTTGTGCAGATTTTAGATGTGAAGACTTGGAAACCACGAGAAGTGCCAATAGACTGATTTTTGTTCCTTTCACCCTAGGTGAAACGACAATGGATGTGGTGTTGGCTCGATTGAAACTCCTGAACTCAGATGCCCTTAGAGAGGAAATTGTCAAAGCCGGATTGAAATGTGGACCCATCACATCAACCACAAGGTTCATTTTTGAGAAAAAACTGGCTCAAGCCTTACTCGGGCAAGGAACATCGCTCTCTTCCTTTCTTCCCAGCCACGAGGAGGCAGGTGCCACGGCCGTCAGCCAAGACACGCAGAGAACTCTGAAGTCTGCCGAAGAGAGCCTGCGTGAGCAAGCCAGTGTTCCTGAAGAGAGAGAGTTTGGTTATGGCGTGGGCTTGAACCCTCCCCAGGAGGACGCTGTGACATCCGCGAGCTGCTCGGTGCCCTTCTGTGCTGCAGCCCACATCAACACCCACAGAGCTGGTGTGCCAGCCACTAAGGAGCCACCTCTGTACTATGGGGTCTGCCCTGTGTACGAGGACCTCCCAGTGAGAAACGGTACTATGGCGTGGTCAGTGTTTCCTCACATGGGTGGTGCATGTACTGCAGAGGGAAAAGGTTTGGAAAATCAAAACTATAGGTGAAAAAAAAGAAAAATAATTTTTTAACATGTTAGCTATTTTCATCAGCCCGCAACAACCTGGGCTGACCCAAAGCCAGGAGCCTGGAATTCCACCCAGGTCTCTTATGTGGATGGCAGGGACCCAAGTACTTGGGTCATCGTCCAGTACCTTCCCAGGTACATTAGCAGGGCACTGGATCCAAGTCAGAGCAGCTGGGACTGGAACTGGGTCCCTTGTATGGCATGTGGCCATCCCAAGCAGTGGCTTAACCCACTGTGCCATGACTCCTGTCTTTCTTACTTTCTTGCTACTGTTTCCATAGTATGTATGTATGTATGTATGTATTTATATGACAGGTAGAGTTAGATAGTGAGAGAGAGAGAGACAGAGAGAAAGGTCCTTCCTCTGTTGGTTCACTCCCCAAAGGCCACCGCAGCCAGTGCTGCGCCAGTCTGAAGCCAGGAGCCAGGTGCCTCCTCCTGGTCTCCCACACGGGTGCAGAGGCTCAAGCACCTGGGCCATCCTCCACTGCCTTCCTAGGCCACAGCAGAGAGCTGGACTGGAAGAGGAGCAGCCGGGACTAGAGCCTGGTGCCCATATGGGATGCCAGCGCCGCAGGCAGAGGATTAACCAAGTGAGCCATGGCGCCATCCCCTCCATAGTTTTTTAGAATCTGTTTTTAAAATTATTTTTATTTAGATCTTTCATCTGTGTGGAGTGTATTTTTTAGTATGGTATAGTATCTTAGTTTATAAAACTATATAATATACAGATAATGCTGCTTGCACACACACCCCCACATGCCATCAAGCATGTGAGCATAGTTGTGTTCTTTTGCTTAATGATCAAACACTGGACGGTGTACATAGGAGTGGATCTGGTGGCTGGGGCAGACTTTTCAGTGAGGGAAGGGCTTGCTGCTCTCGGTCCTCTCTAATTTTCATTTGTTAATTTTCCCACCAGAACGGATCCATGTTTATGAAGATAAAAAGGAAGCATTGCAAGCCGTCAAAATGATCAAGGGGTCCCGATTCAAAGCTTTTTCAACCAGAGAAGATGCTGAGAAGTTTGCTAGAGGAATTTGTGATTATTTCCCTTCCCCAAGCAAATCTTCATTACCACTTTCTCCTGTGAAAGCACCATTCCTTAGCAACGGTGGGTTAAAAGGTAAGGCAGACGGTTGGCAGCTTGACTTAGTGTCAGATTTATTGTGCTCCCTCCTGGTATATGTTTGCTGGTTTCCTCCTCCTGTGAGGAAAGTGCCAGGCAGAGGGACAGCCAGGGGAGAACAGGAAGGAGTTGTTGTCTGGTCTGGGAGTTTCAGGACGTGAGGGCAGAGGCCTGGGGGCTACAGCTGGGGAGCTGGCCATAGCATCTGGACTGGGGAGCTGGCCCATAGCATCTGGACTGATGAGCTGGCCCGTAGCAGCTGGACTGGGGAGCTGGTCCATAACATCTGGACTGGGGAGCTGGTTCATAGCAGCTGGACTGGTGAGCTGGCCCATAGCATCTGGACTGGGGAGCTGGCCCATAGCATCTGGACTGATGAGCTGGCCCATAGCAGCTGGACTGGTGAGCTGGCCCATAGCAGCTGGACTGATGAGCTGGCCCATAGCATCTGGACTGGGGAGCTGGCCCATAGCAGCTGGACTGATGAGCTGGTCCATAGCATCTGGACTGGTGAGCTGGTCCATAGCAGCTGGACTGGTGAGCTGGCCCATAGCATCTGGACTGGGGAGCTGGCCCATAGCAGCTGGACTGGTGAGCTGGCCCATAGCAGCTGGACTGGGGAGCTGGCCCGTAGCAGCTGGACTGGGGAGCTGGCCCGTAGCAGCTGGACTGATGAGCTGGCCCATAGCAGCTGGACTGATGAGCTGGCCCATAGCAGCTGGACTGGGGAGCTGGCCCATAGCAGCTGGACTGGTGAGAAGCAGTAAGGGAGTGCAGTTGCTCCTCTCTCATCATCAGGCCCCCTTCCTCATTGGAGGCTACAGCTGCTTCTGAAACAGGCATCTGCAAAGCCAGGCGGCATGTGAGAGCCAGAAATCTGACCGAAGCTCTGTCTGACTCAGAGCCAGAGTCTTGTTTGGACCCTCCGCCGCCTCTGCTTCCTTCCCCAGCTCACAGCGGTCTGCTGCCCAGGCTGTTTGAGGTCCCAGAGGGACAGTGCCTTCTCTTGCACGTCTGACCCCCCTGCCCTAATCCCTAATCCAGCTGTGTGCGGGTGCTTCCTGGACACAAACTGGATTGAGTCCAATAGTTTCTTAGTTTGTGGAAATTCCCCTAGAGGAAAACACTTTTAGACCTTCTCGGGTGTTTTGATGAAAGCAATGGGAGTTGGGGCCGGCGTTGTGGTGTGACAGGTGGAGCTGCTTACAACATCGGCATCCCACATCAGAGTACTGGTTTGAGCCCTTGCTGCTGGTAGGGCTTGGGAAAGCAGTAGGGGCCTTGGGCCCTTGCTGCCGGTGTAGGAAATCAGGATGGCGTTCCAGGCTCCTGATTTCAGCCTGCCCAGCCCTGGCCATTGGAACTGTTTGTGGAATAAGCCAGCAGATGGAAGATCTCTCTTTCTTTCTGTCACTCAACCTTTCAAATAAATAAATCTCCAAACAACAACAGCAAAACAGTGGGAATCATGTGTGCGGCACTGCTGGAGTAGTGTTATCCATTCTGGAGTGCTGTGCACATTAAAGCTTCCCTGTGGAGGCCGGCACTGTGGCGTAGTGGGTAAAGCTGCCGCCTGCAGTGCCAACGTCCCATATGGGTGCCAGTTCAAGTCCTGGCTGCTCCACTTCTGATCCAGCTCTCTGCTGTGGCCTGGGAAAGCAGCAGAAGATGGCCCAAGTCCTTGGGCCCCTGCACCCATGTGGGAGACCGAAAAGAAGCTCCTGGCTCCTGGCTTTGGGTCAGCCCATTTCCAGCCATTGTGGCCATTTGGGGAGTGAACCAAAGGATGGAAGACCTCTCTCTCACTCTCTTGCTCTCTCATCCTCTTTGCAACTCTGCCTTTCAAATAAATAAATCTGGGGTGGGGGAAGCTCCCTTGTGACTGATGACACTGTCATGGTTGCAGCTGCCAGTGCCCCTCTTCTACCCACTGGACTCTGACGTAGCTTTCCAAGTTCACCCAGTTACCCTTCATTCACAGTTGTCCCTGCTGGATCCCGTCTGGCCTGGCTGCTCTGTCCTGGTGCTTGCAGCAGTGCCGGGGGGGACACTGGCGTCTGCAGCTGCAGCCCTGCACCACTGCAGCTGTTCCTCCCGGCTGGCTCATGGTCTGTGTAGGAGGCTTCTCACCCCTCAGAGTAGCACCTGTGAGATGATGGGAGATGTTGATGAAATTACTTACATGCTCTGAAATTGTGTCTCTTCTTGACAGGTGGTTTGTGTTCACCTGAGTCAGATATAGTGAACAAAGAGCGGGCAAACAGTTATAAAAACCCCCGCACCCAGGACCTCACTGCCAAGCTCCGAAAGGCTGTGGAGAAGGGAGAAGAAGACACCTTTTCTGATCTCATCTGGAGTAACCCTCGGTATCTGATTGGCTCAGGGGACAACCCTACCATCGTCCAGGTAAGCTCGCTTTCAGTGTTGTTCCTGCTGCGTGGTGGTGAGCACAGATGACGCTGAAAACGCGTTTTCTTCCAGGAAGGCTGCAGGTACAACGTCATGCATGTTGCTGCCAAGGAGAACCAGGCTGCGATCTGCCAGCTGACTCTGGAGACCCTAGAAAACCCCGAGTTTATGCGACTTATGTACCCAGATGACGACCTGGGCATGCTGCAGAAGCGCATCTGCTACATCGTTGATCTCTATCTGAACACTCCTGACAAGATGGTGCGTGCTCATTCTGTCTCTTTCGTTTTTGTTGTTGTTGTTTTTTATTAGGTAGAGTTAGAGACAGTAAGAGAGAGACAGAGAGAAAGGTCTTCCTTTCGTTGGTTCACTCCCCAAATGGCTGCTACGGCTGGCACTGTGCTGATCCGAAGCCAGGAGCTGGGTGCTTCCTCCTCTCCCATGCGGGTGCAGGGGCCTAAACACTTGGGCCATCCTCCACTGCCCTCCCAGGCCACAGCAGAGAGCTGGACTGGTAGAGGAGCAACCGGGACTAGTACCCGGCGTTCCAACCAGGACTAGAACCCGGGGTGCCGGCACTGCAGGCAGAGGATTAGCCAAGTGAGCCACAGCGCTGGCTTCTTTCATTTTCAGTAGAAAACATAGCCAGTTTTGTAGTTAAAGATCTGTGCTCCTCGTGTATTGAGTATTTCTTATATTTCTGGCCTCTGTATCAGTATGCAAAACATGTCCATTGAACTTAGAGCTTAGAAAATGTTGGGAAGATGAGACACTCAAACGAGTGGGCCCCACCAGGCAGGTGCACATTGGCCTCGCTGGCTGCTCCCAGCCTGATGGTATGGACAGCAGGAGCTGCTCATGGCGCCTTTCTCTTGGGCTTTGTCAAGAGAGGCATGAGCTGGGCTTTGACCAGAGGATGAACGATGGCAAAAAATGTAGAAAAGAAAGTAAAACAAATTTTGAGATCGTCTAGTATTTTATATGTGTCTTTTATGTATTTTTTTCATCGATCATTACATTGGGAATATTTCCTATGGGACTAATTTCAAAGGCTTGTTTTTTAACGGTCACCAAAGCTTCAGTAAGAATTCATGGAACAGAGCGATTTGTGTGTTTTATGTGGGAAAATGCAGTGATAGCCTGGATCCAAGAACCCATAAGCTCCACAAACTCGGGCATGGGGAAACTGCAGTGGGAGTGAAGGAGGCCTCCTACACTGGGGCATTGTTTGTTATTTGAGGGTGCGGTGACATGATACACTGAACTGTAGAATTGAAAAGCAGGAGTTACCTCAACAAGACAGAAAAAAGGAAGTGTGGAGAAAGTTGGCTGTGCTGGCAAAGTCACAAATAGATAAAAGGACTACAGTAACTGGGGATGCTGAGAGGTCAGTAGCCATGTTGGCTGCGCTGTCACAGCCTTCAGCATCCTGCCTTGGGGCTTTTGCCACACACCAAGCAAGCACTCAGTTCTGCAGCGGACCCTGTCTCCCTGGAGGATCCGGGCCCCAGGCTGAAGACTCAGTCCCAGAAGGTGCTCCCCCTGTGAATGCCAACTGCAGTTGTGCTCTGACCGACAACTACAAATCAGGTATCAATCCCCTTGGGTTTGATTAATTTCTTTGACCAGTTTACTTGCCTATCAAAGGATATTATGGGCAGATGATCTGGTGCAGTGTGTTAAGCTGCCCTTGCTTGTGATACTGGTTCAAGTCCCAGGGGCTCTGCTTCTTTTTTAAAATATTTATTTATTTGAAAGTCAGAGTTACACAGAGAGAGGAGAGAGGTGGAGAGGGAGAAAGGGAGGGAGGGGTCTTCTATCCGCTGGTTCACTCCCCAATTGGCTGCAATTGCCAGAACTGTGCTGATCCAAAGCCAGGAGCCCGGAGCTTTTTCCAGGTCTCCCATGCAGGTACAGGGGCCCAAGACTTGGGCCATCTTCTACTGCTTTCCCAGGCCGTAGCAGAGAGCTGGATCAGAAATGGAGTAGCCGGGACCGAACTGGCGCCCATATGGGATGCTGGCACTGTAGTCAGCAGCCTTATGTGCTATGCCACAGCACCGGCCCCTGCTCTGCTTCTGATCCAGCCTCCTGCTAGGAAGGCAGCAGATGGTGGCCCAAGTATTTGGGTCACTGCCACCCGTGTAGGAGACCCAGCTGAAGTTCCTGGCTCCTGGCTTCAGCCTGGCCCAGCCCCTACTGTTTTGTATATTTGGGGAGTGAACCAGTGGATGAAAGATAGCTCTCTCTCCCCCCACTCACCCTCTCTGTTTCCCTACCTTTCAAATAAATAAATAATTAAATAAATCTTAAGGGAAAAAAAAAACCTCAGCTATTACAGAGGATACAGATGAAGAGTCCAGTGGTGGAGGCACACAGGGCAGGGCACGGAGCTTCCCTGGGCTCTCCAGGGCCATCTCCAGGAACTTCCTCAGAGCAGATCAGAAACTCTCATTGTACAGGCATGGCCAGCCAGCTATGGGCATTGGTAATGGACTCAACTGGCAGTCCCTCCTCTCCCCTCCCTGGTTACAGGGAGGTGGCACTGAAAGTCCCAGCCCTCTGGCCTTACTGTGACCAGCCCAGAACCCATCCTGATGCTACCCAGGGGCTGCAGGCCATCAGTCAGCTCATTAGCATACAGAAAAAGACGCTTGAAGGTTTTTTTCTTCTGTTTTCCCTAAACAACACAGCATAGCAACTGCTTATGTAGTACATAGATTGTATTAGCTATTCTTGGTGATCTGTAGAGATGCAGGATAACAGAGGGCATAAGCGTTGTAGCACAGAACATTCACTGGAGTGCCTGGAAGAGTTCTACATCTGCTTCTGACCCAGCTCCCTGCTGATGCATGCTGGGAGTCAGCAGTGATGTCCCAAGTACGTGGTTCCCTGCCAGCCAGGATGTGAGAGACCAGGGTGGAGTCTGGCTCCTGCCTTTGGTCTAGCCCAGCCTTGACTGTTGGGGCCATTTGGGGAGTAAACCAGTGGATAAAAGATCTTTCTCAAGGCTGGTGTTGTGACACAGCAGGTTAAGCTTTTGGGATGCCATCATCTCACATCATAATGCCAATTTAAATGCCAGCTGCTCTGCTTCCCATATAACTCTCTGTTTATGCTCCGGGAAAGCAGCAGCAGATGGCCCTGCCACCCATGTGAGGGGCCTGGGTAGGGTTCTAGGCTCCTAACCAGCCCCAGCCATTGCGAGGTAAACCAGTGAATAGGAGATCTTTCTCTCTCTTTCTCTCTCTGTTCTCTCTGCCTTTGTCTCTCATTGTACAATAAATCAGTTGTACAAAAAAATCAATAAATCTTTTTAAAAATTTTATTATTTATTTGAAAGGCAGAGTTAGAGGCAGAGGCAGAGAGAGAAGTCTTCCATCCACTGGCTCACTATTCAAATAGCCACAACAGGTAGAGCTGGGCTGATCTGAAGCCAGGAGCCAGGAGTTTCTTCCAGGTTTCCCATGCAAGTGCAGGGGCCCAAGGACTTGGGCCATCTTCTGCTGCTTTCTCAGGCCACAGCAGAGAGCTGGATCAGAAATGAAGCTGCCAGAACTAGAACCGGTGCCCAAACGGGATACCAGCACTGGAGGCAGCGTCTTTACCTGCCATGCCACAGTGCCGGCCCCAATAAATCTTTAAAAAGAAAATCCGGGCCCGGCGCTGTGGCTCACTTGGTTAATCCTCTGCCTGCGGCACTGGCATCCCACATGGGCACCAGGTTCTAGTCCTGGTCGCTCCTCTTCCAGTCCAGCTCTCTGCTGTGGCCCGGGAGGGCAGTGGAGGATGGCCCAAGTGCTTGGGCCCCTGCACCTGCATGGGAGACCAAGAAGAAGCACCTGGCTCCTGGCTTCAGATCGGCGCAGCGTGCCGGCCATAGCAACTATTTGGGGGGGTGAATCATTGGAAGAAAGACCTTTCTCTCTCTCTCACTGTCTAGCTCTGCCTGTGAAATTAAAGAAAAGAAAAGAAAAGAAAATCTGTCCCTCCATCTGTGTGTGTGTGCACGTGCATAATTCTGCCTTTCAAATAAATTAGCCTTAAGGAATAACAGGCTGCTCCTAGGTTACACACAAACATGGGACTTGAGTACCTGTGGACGTGGTGTCTAGTTGGGGTCCTGAAAACAGGGACAGCTGCATTTCACAAGCACAAGAGTGAGGGTGAAATGGGAAAGAAGGTATAAATGTTATCAAACTGAGAACATAAAGATACAAGATTTGGGGGCTGGCGCTGTGACGGAGTAGGTAAAGCTGCTGCCTGCAGTGCTGGCATCCCTTATGGGCACTGGTTCAAGTCCCAGCCTCTCCACTTCCAATCCAGCTCTCTGCTATGACCTGGGAAAACAGTAGAGGGTGACCCAAGTCCTTGGGCCCCTGCACCCTTGTGGGAGACCCGGAGGAAGCTCCTGGCTCCTGGCTTCGGATCAACACAGCTCTGGCTGTTGCGGCCAATTGGGGAGTGAACCAGCCTCTCTCTTTCTCTGCCTCTCCTTCTCTCTCTGTAACTCTGACTTTCAAATACATAAATAAATCTTTAAAAAAAAAAAAAGATACAAGATTTGATCAGTACGATCAGCAAGTGTGGCTCTATAGATAGGAAAAGGAGCTGTGTGCTCTGCAGAAAGTACAAGAATGCATGTATCCAGAAATAAAACCTTAGTAAATTTGATGTCATAGGGGGCTGACGCTATAGCACAGCGGGTTAACACCCTGGCCTGAAGCGCCGGCATCCCCTATGGGTGCCGGTTCTACTTCCGGCTGTCCCACTTCTGGTCCAGCTCACGTGGAAGACCCGAAGGAAGCTCCTGGCTTTGGATCTGTGCATCTCCGGCCTCTGCAGCCATCTGGGGAGTGAACCAGTGGATGGAAGACCTCTCTCTCTGCCTCTCCCTCTCTCTATAACTCTGCCTTTCAAAAGAATAAAATAAATCTTTTAAAAAAATTTTGATGTCATAGGTCACCTTCTTTTTTCTTAGTCACTAAGAGTAGGAATCATTAAAGTCTTTAATTAATTAAAATACCTCAACTGGCCGGCGCTGCGGCTCACTAGGCTAATCCTCCGCCTAGCGGCGCCAGCACACCGGGTTCTAGTCCCGGTCAGGGCGCCGGATTCTGTCCCAGTTGCCCCTCTTCCAGGCCAGCTCTCTGCTGTGGCCCGGGAAGGCAGTGGAGGATGGCCCAAGTGCTTGGGCCCTGCACCCCATGGGAGACCAGGAGAAGCACCTGGCTCCTGCCATCGGATCAGCGCGTTGCGCCGGCCGCAGCGCACCAGCCGTGGCGGCCATTGGAGGGTGAACCAACGGCAAAAGGAAGACCTTTCTCTCTGTCTCTCTCTCTCACTATCCACTCTGCCTGTCAAAAAATAAATAAATAAATAAATAAAAAATAAAATACCTCAACTGTTTAGAAACAACGGAAGTTTGTGGCGAGACTGCCTCACTAAAGAATATGAGGTTGCTGAGTTGTGGGACTGGCAGGAGAGTCCCTTAAGTGTGACAAGAGCCCAGAGCTAACGTTACTTGGCTGGAATGAGGGGAGAAATTGGGTGACCAAGCTTGCAGAGTGCAGGGCTGGCTAGAATTAATCACTGTGGGATGGGGGACAATGACTTCGGAGCGGTCAGTTCTGTTGAGGGTTCTTGGAATGCAGAGTATACGTCTGGTGTGCAGCAGGGTTCTGGGGCCCGGAGCCTGTGCTGTCCAAGGGAGGCAGGAATCAGGAGTGGCCTGGTGGCTTGGGGAGCACGGGCTGGTGGTCGGCAGCTCTGGCACGTCAGCTGCCCCCTGCTTGGTACATGAAGCTGTTTGGAACTGTCCATGGCTGCTTTTCTGCTTCAGAGGCAGAGTTGGGTAGTTGTGGTAGAGACCAGGTACCCTACATCACCATGCAGCCCTTGACTGAGAAACCTCACCAGGCCCCAGACAGAAGGACAAGGCACAGAGCATGGTGGTGTAGGCTGCAAACACCCAGACCCTCTCAGGGTTTGAGGAGTCAGGTGAGATGCCGCAGTGGGTGATGACGCGCTGGCACCCGTCCTTCAGCTCGGGCTGCTGGTGGAGGTGGAGGATTTGCAAGGCAGCAAGGCCGGCGGGTCTTGAGAAGCCAAGGGGCCGGCAGCCAAGGCCCAGTGACAGACGTGGCCTTGGCAGTGACAGGCTGACTGCACAGATACATGTTTGGCTCTGGTAGATGGGAATGAATTCTGTTTGGCCTGTGCTGCTTGAGCTGCCTGTAGGACCTGCAGGCCAAGGGCCCTGGGAGCAGCTGGCTCCCCAGGTCTCGGGCTTGGGAGCGCTATTGTGCATAAGGCCCTGCTCTGTATACAGCTGTTGAAGGTGGCTCTGAGACTGTGCAGAGAACGAAGAAGGAAGGAGCAGCTGGGAGGGGCACTTGGGATACCAGAAGCACCTGGCAGCCATGTGGAGTGATGGCCTGAAGTCAGGACTGAGGAGTTCGGTTTACTATGAGGTCGGTCACCAGAGAGTTCTCATTAAGCATAGCCAGATTCATGGGCTTTGTTCATTATGGACATTGCCTCTCTCTGTTTATTTCACTTTTTGGGTATTGATTACATGATGTTGTCCTGGGACTTGAATTATTAAAGGTACTGGCTATTGAGCATCTTTGATTGTAAGCTCGTGGTACTAGGCACCAAATAAACATCGATGTTATTCTAACGTTCAGTGTGCTGAACTCAAGTCCTGGCATACGTGAGTCTGTGCTAGAGTTCCAGCTACTTACCAGTTACAGTAGTAGTGACCCTCACGTTCTTTTTTAAAAAAAAAAAAATTATTTATTTTTATTTGAAAGTCAGAGTTGCACAGAGAGAGGAGAGGCAGAGAGAGAGAGAGAGAGGTCTTCCATCCAATGGTTCACTCCCCAATTGGCTGCAGCAGCCGGAGGTACGCCGATCCAAAGCTAGGAGCCAGGAGCTTCTTCTGGGTCTCCCACGCAGGAGCAGTGGCCCAAGGACTTGGCCATCTTCCACTGCTTTCCCAGGCCATAGCAGAGAGCTGGATTGGAAGTGGAGCAGCTGGGTCTCGAACCGGCACCCATATGGAATACCGGCACTTTAGGCCAGGGCGTTAACCCGCTGTGCAAGGTACCGGCCCCCCTCATGCTCTGACTGAGTTCCTTTACCTTTTTCAGGGCTATGACACGCCATTGCATTTTGCTTGTAAGTTTGGAAATGCTGATGTGGTCAACGTGCTTTCTTCACACCCTTTGATTGTGAAAAACCCAAGAAATAAGTATGATAAGACACCTGAAGATGTAAGTAATTACTAAAATGCAGTTGTTGTTTTGTGTTAGAAATGAAAACACATAGATCACAGCTCTGTTGAAGTCGCAGGTAACACTGTAGGAGTCATGTTTATTTACAGCCACGCCCCCTTGCACACACCTGATGTTGTCTAAGCTTGGCTTGGCTCAGGCCTGGTCATTAGTTGGCGGGAGGAGTCAGGTTTGCTTTGGTGGTCATATCCAAGAACCCTGAGGAGGCAAGGTATCAGAGAGCCAGGGGTCAGTGAGCCGACCCAGTTTTTGGATTTTATTTTCTGGGGATGGGTGGTCAGTTCTGAACAGCCCGGTGTTTTATCAGATACCCTGTCTGAACACATCCATTGGGCAGGGTCACAGAGAGGAGATAATGGTGATGGTGGTGAGAATGATGGGGATGATGGTGCTGGTGGGGGATGATGGTTGTGATAATGCTGTAATGATGCTGAAAACTGCTGATGTGTGTTCAGCCCAGTATGCGCCAGGTGTAAGCTCAGCCCCTCACGCGTATTTTCACCTGACCTATGTGAGAGGTCTCTAGAAGGCTCATGGAAAATGTGTATCATGAGAAAACTAGGGAAGGGCATTGAGGTACAGCAGGTTAAGCTGCCGCTTGGAATGTCCGTATCTCATATCACAGTGACTGCTTTGAGTTCTGGCTGCTCTGCTTCCAGTCCAGCTTCCTGCTAATGCACTGGGAGCAGTGGATGATGGTCCACGTACTTGGTTCCTGCCACCCATGCGGGAGACCCAGATGGAGTTCCTGGCTTCGGCTTGGTCTAGCCCACAGTATTTTTGGCATAGGCAGCTATGCCTGGATTTCAAGCTTTTTTGCACCAAAATAAATAGATCTGTTACTTCTGTTTTTTTCAGTGAACTCTGAAATTCCCTATACATGCCCATGAGGCAGGAGACAGCCTGATTAGAGCCTTGTGAGCTCTCAAGATGGCAGAGGCACAGTAGTTTTGTGGTCCCTTTCTTTCCTCTTATTTGACGATTAGAGAGGTTTTCTGTTGTTTCTAACAGAAGTATTCCTGTAGTTATCCAGAGATTCGTGATGCTGATTCCTGTTCTGTGGTCGCAAACATGTCACAGTTGTGGGTTCCATGTTGGGTGGAGGCTCTACTTAGAACCAGCTACGCAGATGTGGAGACCAGGCTCCTGGGCGTGCCACGTACTCTGCCCACACTTGATGGCACACTTCTGGTTTCCTTTGCTTGTACAAGTAGGAAGATGTGGGGCAGCATGAAGGAAGCAAGGTGGAGCTGCCCCAGAGCCCAGTTTGTTCTTGCGCCTGTCTCCTTATGGTCTCAGAGGGAACATCTGAGGTGGAAACCCTCCTAATCAGCACATACTCTTTTGGGTTGAGCTGTATGAATTTAACGTTAAATTACTATCCTATATTGCTGCCTTTAAAGTTTGCTTTTTAAAAATCATTTTAATAATAGGAATTATCCCAAAATAAGATTTAAGACTATTCACTTACTCTGTTTTCTTTAAACAGGTGATTTGTGAAAGAAGCAAAAATAAACCTGTGGAACTGAAGGAGCGGATCAGGGAATATTACAGGGTGAGCGAGGGCATGAGTGCCTGGAACGTGAGGCGTGGTTGTGGGGGTCCGCGCCTGCTCCTGCTGGTCTGCTGGGCACAGCAGAGGTTCGTCCGCTCTCTGAAGTCCTTGAGAACTCAGAGCTCCCCTCCAAAGCCTCCTGTGGGCCTCTTTTCTTTCCCGACTCCAGCAGCTTCCCCCTTCTTGGAATTCTTGTGTCTGTGCTGGTAGCCATTTTTGAGAGAACAGTGAGGTTCTGTCCTTTGACCACTGCTCATGGCCACACCAGCCCATAATCTCCACGTCTTGGGGATGGAGGGGTTTCCAGGGGTCCCTTGGACGCGGAGGTCTTGGCGGCCATCCCTGCTCTTCAGGCAGAGCCTGCAGGTTGGCAGAGTGCAGGACAGGCAGCAGCCTGGATCTCCTTGTCTGGGGTTGGTTAGCTTCACTTTTGTTTGTTTCCAGGAAGGGGGATGGCTCCCCGTGGACCCCTTCGTTGGTGGCAGGCGTGAGGATGGCGCCTCCCTCAGCTCTGCCTCCAGCAGGTCAGGCTCTCCGGGCCTGTGGAGGTGGCTGGTTTCAACTGGGCTCTTCCCCACCATCTTCCTCTGTGCTGTTTTCTGGGAGATTTTGCTGGAAGTCTGTGCTGTGCTCAGAGTGAACTTGTAGACATGTGAAGCTCCTTGACTTTCCTCTGGTACACCGCCAAGGCCACCCCTTGTCCCCTGGTGTCTGCACCCTCCCAGCCTGACCGTTTCCCTGTGTAAAGCTCCTGGGGCCCCCACTAGTCCTTGGGTCCCCTCCCATCCTGGGGTTCTTACTGGTTGTACTTCTGAGTGGACAGCACTGCACACGAAGGAAAGCACCCCGTGTGCTGAGGGCAGAGGTGTCGTCCTCTGGGCCATCCGGGCCTTGGTCCTGGAGGCCCAGCTGGAAGCGGCAGAGGCCTAGGAATGGATAGCGGTATTCCCGGGACCCCCGAACAACCAGACCATCTGCTCTGTGGAGTCTCCAGCCGTGCTGTCAGAGCTGCTTTAAAATGGTGACATGAAGCGTTATTTTGAGACGATAATTAGGTGGCAGTTCTGAGGGCTTTCCTGTTTGTGACCGTGAGACACTCACCTCAGATCTGTTCATCCAGCTGTTTCCTGAGGGGAAAACACACTCAGTCCCCGGCCTCTTGGTTGCTGTCCACTCCTTCAGAGTTCTTGCACGTCGTCCCTGGTTCTTTCCGAGAGTCCCTTGTCGGGCCCAGGCATGAGTCACCTGGGACGGTCATGCTGTGCCTCTGTCGCCTTGCAGGGTCACACACTAGACAGCGTGCTGCAGGCCTGGCCACATCCCGGCTGCTGTCCTCACGCTCAGCAAGAGATGTGTGCTTGTGTGCAGAGGGAAGACAAACGATATAAAATCATTGAGAGGGGATGGCCTCCATTTTTTTAAGACATGAAGAAAATTTTTTAAAAGATTTTATTTATTTGAGGGGCCGGCACCGTGGCTCACTTGTGCGGCACCGGCATCCCATATGGGCGCTGGATTCTAGTCCCAGTTGCCCCTCTTCCAGTCCAGCTCTGTGCTGTGGCCCAGGAGGGCAATGGAGAATGGCCCAGGTGCTTGGGCCCCTGCACCTGCATGGGAGACCAGGAAGAAGCTCCTGGCTTCAGATCGGCACAGTGCTGGCTGTAGTGGCCATTTGGGGAGTGAACTAACAGAAGGAAGACCTCTCTCTCTCTCTCACTCTCTCTCTCTGTCTATAACTCTACCTGTCAAATAAATAATAAAAAGATTTTATTTATTTGAAAGCCACAGTGACAGAAGGAGAGAGAGGGAGAGATCTTGCATATGCTGATTCACTCCCCAGATGCCCACAGTAGCCAGGGCTGAAGCGGGCTGAAGCCAGGAGGCAGGAGTTCCATCCTGTTCTCCCTTGTGGGAGGCAGGGGCTGAAGTACTTGAGCATCACCTGCTGCCTCGCAGGAGCATTTAACCTGCTGTGAATTAAAGTCTCGTAGTCGGCAAGTGTCCTGGACACACCTAATCCGCTGGTTGCCACAGCCTGGGCACACGGGACACCACAGAGCCTCAGGCTGCATCCCTGTGCTCACGGGGCTGTCGGAGCTGAGGCTGCTGCTTCTGGGGAGGACTGGCCGCCAGGTGCTAGTGTGGGAAGGTCGAGTCCAAGGATGCCTTCCAGAGTGCCTTCCAGAGTGCCAGTCACCCCATGGGGCTAGGTCAGGGCGGGGGCCAGATGAAGGGATTGGGAGAGTGAGGGACGGGGAGTACACCTCTCAGACGCGTGCCCGGCTCCCACTGCGTGCTGACCCGCTCACTGGTTGGGCCTCTCTCGCGATTAACCCACTGCAGGAAGCTGCTGTCTGTGGAGTCCCTACCCTCTTCCTTGCATGTTCTTCCCTGTTGTAGCGGAGGCTGACTGAGTTGAGTGAGTGCTGGCGCAAGACAGTCTTAGCTGTCTTGTCTCCAGAGCCTGTGGTGTTTTATCCTCTTGCCGTCCACTCGCAAAGTCTGCAGGAAATGCTTCCACCCTCCTCATGCCACTCTGCCGACCCGGCACGTGGATGTGACCTGAGCTGTGGCTGACACCCATCTCCCTGCAGGTCACTACTATGTGCCATTGCTCAGAGCGGAAGACACGTCCTCTCCCGTCATCGGGGAGCTGTGGTCCTCAGACCAGACGCCTGAAGTCTCCCACGCTGGTCACTCAGGAGGTGGCCCCCGGGACCCTGTGCTGACCCTGAGGGCTTTTGCAGGGCCCATGAGTCCATCCAAGGTGAGCTGCTGCGGAAGCTTCTGAAACCAGTTCCCGGCTGTCTCCACACTCCTGCTGGGGTCCAGCTGGTGACTTGTGCTTAGAGACTCAAGTCACAGGCAGCCTGCAGGCGGACGTCCTCAGCAGAGTGGCCAGTGAGTTGGTGATGAGGCTTGGAATGTCTTCCAGAGAAACCTTTGTTCCTGGGGGCCAGGCTGCTGTCTGGTTAGCCCGGGGTGTGTTTGCCTAGAGCCCACACTGCTCAGCCCAGTGGAGGCTCCTTGCCATCGAGGGAGGCTCCCCATCGTGGAAGTCCTTGTCTGCGCCATGTTGCCCCATGTGCACTGCTCCCGCTCCGTCTGCTTTCCGTGAGGTGCTTCACCTGTACCCACGCCTCAGCCCTGGGGCTTCTGCTTAGAACCTGATGCTCACAGAAACCCTCAATGACGGGTCGCTGGGTCCACACTTAGGCACATTCTTTTTTTTTTTTTTTTAAGATTTATTTATTTATTTAAAAGAGTTACAGAGAGGCAGAGAGAGAGAGAGAGAGAGGTTGTCCATCCACTGATTCACTCCCCAAGTGGCTGCAATGGCCAGAACTGGGCCGATCTGAAGCCAGGAGCTTCTTCTGGGTCTCCCACGTGGGTTCAGAGGCCCAAGGACTTGGGCTATCTACTGCTTTCCCAGGCCATAGCAGAGAGCTAGATCAGAAGTGAAGCAGCCAGGACTCTCACGGCGCCCCTATGGGATGCTGGCACTGCAGGCGGCAGCTTCATCCACTACGCACAGCACCAGCCCTGCTTAGGTACGCTTTTATGCCAACTTTTCAGTGAGAAATTCTTTCTGTGACAGACTATTTCATACACTGGTTTGCTTGCAATCTCTTGCTAAAATCCTCCCAAATAATTAGTTATTTGCCACTGTAACAATGCCTCTAATCAGTTAGGGTTAGATCAACTGCACAAAGCCTAAAACTAGCAACAGTGACTTAAAAAGATCAGTGTTGGTTTCTTTGTGTACTGTGGTGGGAGGGGCAGCCCACACCTCAAGCTTGTGGCCTCCTGGGTCACTGGACAGCCCCTCCTGGAAGGAGCAGACACCCCTCCCTCACGGGGCTCTCGGTTACAAGGCAGGTGGACACGTGGCTCGGGGTTCTGTTAACCAGGGGTGGTTGGGAGGCGGAAAGGATACTTTGGGGGGTGCACCGTGTGTGGCACATCTCATCGCACTCTGTCTTCCTAGGCAGAAGATTTTCGCAAACTCTGGAAGACTCCACCGCGAGAAAAAGCAGGCTTTTTCCACAACGTCAGGAAATCTGACCCAGAAAGAGGCATTGAAAGAGTGGGCAGGTACTTCAAGGGCCATCGCATGGAGTTGCAAGCAGTGCAGTGGCGCTGTGCGTTTGCTATGTGGTTGTATTTGGTTGAAGACGGGAATACTAATCATTATTACCAACAAAATAATGGTTCCCAGGAAGCACATACTGGGAGATTTTAGAGCCTTTTCCTTAAGAGCGGATTCCTTGGCAAGGTTAGCCTGCAGTTTGTGTTGCAGGATCTAGTTCAGCACATCTCTCCCTGGCCATGGAGCGTTTCTGCAGCGCACTGCCAGGGATCTTACTACTCACGGGAGGTGCCAAGGGAGGCAGTGTTGCCTTGGGGAAAGACCACCACTGAAGCACCCTCCTCTGTTGAGACGCAAGAGGCAGGGGTGGCTGGAGACGGCTGGTCAGAGAAAGCCCACAGATCCTGGGCTGGCGAGTGCTTCCTGATGCTTTTAGGGTTCTCAGTGTGCGTGCTGTATCAGGTCCACGAGCTGAACCTGAAAAGGAGCTGTGAATCTCTGGCCTAGCCAAAGCCAGTGTCAGACAACCTTACACACTGCTGTCGTGTGGAAACAGAGTGTGTCTGTGGGCGCAGTCTTACTGGGCACCTTTCCGCCCTCAGTTACTGGGGTGAGGGTGCAGGGGCGGAGGCCTCCTTGCTGTGAGGACTCAGCCACCAAAGCAGCTCTGCAGGTGGAGATGCCTGGGCCCTGCCCTGCTGGGGAAGCACTGTTGTTAAAAATACAGAATGACTGTGTCAGTTCCAAGTTTAGGGTAAAATGAGGTTATGCAAGTATGTATTGATGAAAATAACAAAACTGTAACTTTAGATTGCCAACTTTTTTTTTTTTTTTTTTTTTTTTTGTAGCATTAAGTGGCCATTTTCTGTGCAGTCCTTTGAGTGTGTTTTCTGGTTTCACAACTGGTTAATTGTGTTTTATTTCTTGCAGGGAGCTAGCTCATGAGCTGGGGTACCCCTGGGTTGAATACTGGGAATTTCTGGGCTGTTTTGTTGATCTGTCTTCCCAGGAGGGCCTGCAAAGACTAGAAGAATATCTTGCTCAGCAGCAATTGGGCAAAAAGGCTCAACAGGAAATGGGGGAAAAAGAAGCCTGCCTCAGAGACAGGGCTCCGACCTCAGGTGAGCAAGTGTGACCACAGCCAAGGCCAGGGGGGGCTCTCCTGTGGCTGACCCTGACGGGGAGGCGTCTCTTCATGACAGTTTCAATGTAAGACTGGGATGCTTCTCCTTGGCTCACATTCAAGGTGTGTTGCCCGACTCCCACAAGCTTCCTTCTGTGCTATTGCCAAATGACCTCACTGCCTGAGACTGTAACATTTTAGACCTGATGTTTTTTAGGCATTTTTTTCTAAATATGCTTTATGCTCACATACACTGCATATGTGCCTGCATGACCAGGCAGGCCCACTGCAGAGCTCTGGGGCGTTTGCATCGGAGCCAGGGCCAGGTGCTTCAGGAGCAGGGAGTACAAAGATCATGGTGAAGAGTTAGTTTGACTAAACAAAACTTGCAAATACCACAGTGTTTTAAAAATATATAAAGTTCCTAAGTGTATATTATAAGACAAAAGTATACCAAAAGTGAAATGTCAGATTTATTTGTTTGAAAGTGTTACAGAGAAAGGCTGGGTGGGGGAGACAGAGATCTTCCATCTGCTGGTTCACTCCCTCAGATGGCTGCAGTGGCCAGTGCCAGACCAGAATGAAGCCAGGAGCTTCATCTGGGTCTCCCACGTGGGTGCAGGGGCCCAAACACTTGGGCCGTCCTCTGCTGCTTTTCCAGGTGCATTATCAGGGAGCTGGATCAGAAGTGGAGCGGCTGGGACACAAACCAGTGCCCATATGGATGCTGGCATCACATGCGGCGGTTTACCCTCTACACCACAGCACTAGCCCCGAAGGACATGTCTTTTTTTTTTTTTTTTTTTTTTTTTTTAATATTTTATTCCTTTGAAAGGCACAGAGAGAGAGAAAGAGAGGTCTTGCTTCCACTGGTTCACTTCCCAGATGGCTGCAATGGCCAGAGCTGGGCTGATTCAAAGCCAGGAGCCAAGAGCTTCTTTCATGTCTCCCATGTGGGTGCAGGGACCCAAGGACATGGGCCATCTTCTGCTTTCCCAGGCCATAGCTGGATAGGAAGTGGAGCAGTCAGGACTTGAACTGGCACCCATATGGGCTTTACCCACTATGCCACAGCGCCAGCCCCAGAACATGTCTTTAAACACACAGTGAGGCACCACTGAAGCCCTAGGAGGGCAAGAGTACCAGGGTGAAAGAAGACCTTTCTCTCTGTCTCTCTTCACTGTCTATAACTCTACCTGTCAAATTAAAGAACAAGTAAGAGTGGCAGGGTAGGGCGTATGGCCATGTTATGCAGTGTCTGGGAACAGTCTCCCCTGGAGAGGATTGGAACAGTGAGAACTCATGGCTCACCTCTCCTGCGGTGAGGATTAGTCAGATATATTGTTCCCCTATGCAGGATTAAAAGTCATGCTTTTAAAGAATAATGATAGGAAGAAAGACATACAGTTAACAATGAATGATGAGGAAGAAAGTCTACAGTTAATGGGAGAAAAACCCAAAACTACCTAAATTTCCTAGATATCTTTTATGTGGAAGAAAACACTCACAAGGTACCCATAAACAGAAGAAAACAAAAACAAAAACAAAAATCATAGACAGGAGTTGGAGGGGGTGGCATTGGCTTCCCAGGCCCTTCTCCCTGCTCTCAGCTTCTGGGCACAGCTCAGGCTGCATCCGAGGAGCCGCCACTGTGAGCCAAACTCATGTTCTTCCTGGAGAGGAACTTGAACCGTGGTCCAGGGGCCCCCCATTGACACATCACCTTCATTTCCGAAAGAAAACTTTCTTTTTTTTTTTTTCCTTTTTTTTTTTTTTTTTTTTTTTGACAGGCAGAGTGGACAGTGAGAGAGAGAGACAGAGAGAAAGGTCTTCCTTTGCCGTTGGTTCACCCTCCAATGGCCGCCGCTGCAGCCGGCGCACCGCGCTGATCCGATGGCAGGAGCCAGTAGCCAGGTGCTTTTCCTGGTCTCCCATGGGGTGCAGGGCCCAAGCACCTGGGCCATCCTCCACTGCACTCCCTGGCCATAGCAGAGAGCTGGCCTGGAAGAGGGGCAACCGGGACAGAATCCGGCGCCCTGACCGGGACTAGAACCCGGTGTGCCAGCGCCGCTAGGAGGAGGATTAGCCTATTGAGCCACGGCGCCGGCTCGAAAGAAAACTTTCTAATATGACTTGCTAAATAAAATTAAAAGTGATCTAGCAGAAACCTGCCATTACATGGAGATTTGGATTATGTCCCAAATAGAAATTTGAACAGAGAACACATTTAAAACTTTCCTTTAAGGGCTAAATTGAGGGGCCTTGTGCTGTGGCATAGCAGGTAAAGCTGCTGCCTGCAGTGCCAGTATCCCATATGTTCCGGTTTGAGTCCCGGTTGCTCCACTTCTGATCCAGCTCTCTGCTATGGCCTGGGAAAGCAGTAATAGATGGCCCAAGTCCTTGGGCCCCTGCACCCACATGGGAGACCCAGAAGAGGCTCCTGGCTCCTGGCTTCGAATCAGCCCAGTTCCAGCTATTGCAGCCATCTGGGGCGTGAGCCAGTAGATGGAAGACCTCTCAATCTCTCTCTCTCTCTCTCTCTCTGCCTCTCTTTCTCTCTCTGTTTAACTCTTGATTTTTAAATAAGTAAATAAAAAATCTTTAAAACAATAACAGGCTAAATTGAACCATTAGCCCAAAAGTCACCTACTTCACAAGATAGATTGCCTGGGTGTGATGTGGAAACAATAAAAAATGATCCACATGTACATTAAATTAAGAAGAGATAACACTTTAAAAAGTCACTGTGAATCTGAAACGTGGACTAGAGTGAAGCCCTGGAGTATCACCCTGGAGACGTTTAACCTGCTTTTGCCAAGAGGAGCTCACAGGTGTGTGGCCCCTGGCGTCCTTGAGGTCAGCAATCCTAGAGAGCTGACGGTGGGGTCCAGAGGCCAAGCTGCAGGTTAGGGCTGATGCGTTGATGTTAACGTTGGATCACTTCCCGAGTGACACATGCACAGTGCAGGGGTGTCACAGCCACCTGGGTCTGTCACCAGCAGGGTGTGTCCCTGCCCTGTCAGGACAGTGCTGCTCCCACAGGGTCCTTCTGTTTCGCTCGTCGAATAGAGAGGGGCAGCCGGCCCAGCCCAGTCCACAGGGCGTGCCCGGCCCAGTGTTCTGCTTGCCTTTCCCCAGGAGTGAAGCAGGTAGTCTGAGGTTTGGAATTAAGAGTAAGTGGGTGCCTGGGTGCTAGCAGCTCTGTGTTGGGTTCTGGTCCACGCCTGAGTTCTCCATTGTTGTCCTTGCAGGCAAGGGGATAAAGGGCAGCAATTCCGTCTCTGTGGGGCATTTCTAGACGAAGATGAGGAGATGAGCCTGGAAGAAATCAAAAAACCGGCAAAACACAGCTCGAAGCAGCAGCCCGCTCACCATCCGTGCGTGGGGAGATTCCGTGTGTGGCACCCTTCCCTCGGAGCACAAGGCGGGCTTGATCGAAGCCGCAGCCATGAGTGGTGTCCCAGCAGCAGAAATGGATTCTTCAGTCCCAGCCAGAGGCCCGGGTGGCAGGAGACCGAAGGCTGCCAGCAGAGAGGAAGCACTTCTCTCGCCTGTCTATGATTTGACTTTGACTTTGACAAGCTGAGTTTTGCAACATCTAGGAAAGTGGCTTTCCAGGACCCCAACACGATCTATGAAACCGAAGGAAAAGAAGATTCCTGACCTCGCGAATTGGACGCCAGTAGAAGGAATGACTTGTTCGCGTCTCCACCTGCCTGCAGAAGACTTGGAAAGGACCAGACAGAGACGGAGAGGGAAATGTCCCTGGAGCCCAGCAGCCCCGGGCATGCGGCCCAGGGCAGGCACACGCCCACGTCCCCCCCTGCCACCAGGCTTTCCTCTTTGGGTAGGAGTTGATGTTCCGCATGTGTGGCGCTGTGGGGCTCCTTTTAAACCTTTCGTCTTCCTGGTTTGGTAAGGTTCCCTTGAGGTCCTCCCTCTCCTCGGGAGTACCTGTAGCTTCTGGATATAGCTGGGTCTGACCGTGATGGCTGACGTCCCTGGCTGCAGAACAGTGATTGGGTCTGCCCTGGGAACTTCACCAAGTCCCAGTGCCCAGTGCTGGAAGTCGCCAGCTTTATAGCACTGGCTGCCCTGAGAGCTGCATGTGAAAGCCGCCTTCCTAGTGGAGACGGCCTTTCCTCGACGCCTGCACTCACCTGTAAGGGTCTTGCCCACCACCCTTGTCCTGGGCGCCACCTCCTGCAGACCGCCAGTGTCCTCACGAGCTGGGTGTGGTGCCCTGGTTATCTGTGCTTGGGCCACATTGATTCTTGCATATCGAGGCCGGTGTTGTCATGCAGTGGGTTAAGCCACAGCTTGCAATGCTGGCATCCATGTGGGGTGCTGGTTCAAGTCCTGGCAGTACTTCCTTTTTATTTATTTATTTTGTTTTTAGACTTACTAATTTATTGAAAGGAAGAGTTACAGAGGCAGAGAGAGAGAAAGAGGTCTTCATCCGCTGGTTCGCTCCCCAGATGGCTGCAATGGCTAGAGCTGGGCTGATCTGAAGCCAGGAGCCAGGAGCTTCTTCTGGGTCTTCCACATGGGTGCAGGGGCCCAAGGTCTTGGGCCATCTACTGCTTTCCTAGGCCATAGCAGAGAGCTGGATCAGAAGTGGAGCAGCCAAGACTTGAACCGGCGCCCATATGGGATGCCAGCACTGTGGAGGGCAGCTTTACCTGCTGTGCCACAGCGCTGGCTGCCCCTGTAGTGCTTCTCATCCAACGTCCTGCTGATGTGCCTGGGAAAGCAGCAGATGATGGCCCAAGCATTTGGGCCCCTGCCACCCATGTAGGAGACGAGGGTGGAGCTTCTGGCTCCTGGCTTCAACCTGATCCAGACCTGGCTGTTTTGGCCATTTGGGCAGTAAACCACCAGATGGAATCTCACTCGCTCTCAGCCTTTCAAATAAATTTACGAATGAAGAAGAGGTTCAGTGATAATTTGGAAGTCTTTGTTCTAATCAGCCGTGCTTTTCCTTGATGTGTGCATTCTAGAGAGGAGCCATCAAAACTGGACCGGGATGTTTTGCAGCTCTGGAACGTGCCGATGTCGACCCTCAGCGGTACCCCGCTGTCCACAGATGGAAGAGCGCTGTCCTGGGCTACTCGCCCTCCGATAGGCAGAGGTAGGGTGGGAGAACCCGCTGTCTGCTGCAAGCGAGCGTCTGGAGCGGTCCAGGGCTCGCTCCGCGGTTGGGTCCCACTAACCAGGCTGACGAGAGCCCCCCGGTGGCACCGGTACCCCACGGGGTCCTGGCTCTTGCACAGAAGAGGTCCCCAAGAGGGGTTAGAGCAGGACAGGACTGCTGCTGCTGCAGGGCGGGAAGCAGCGGGGCTGAGCTGGGGCACACAGGATTGT